AGGAACTAAAGAGCCTCTTGATGAAGGTGAAAGAGGAGAGTGAAAAAGCTGGTTTAAAACTCAGCGTAAAAAACAGGAAGATCATGGCATCCAGTCCCATCACTTCATGGCAAATAGTTGGGGAAACAATAGAAACAGTGACAGACTTTATTTTCTTGGGCTCCAAAATCACTGCAGATGATGACTGCAGCCATGAAATTAAAAGATGCTTATTCTTTGGAAGAAAAGCTGTGACAAACCTAGACAGCATTTTTAAAAGCATAGATGTTACTTTTACGACAAAAGTCCATAGAGTCAAAGCTACAGTTTTTCCAGTAGTCCTGTATGGATATGAGAGTTGGACCATAACGAAGGCTGAGGACCAAAGAACTGATGCTTTTGAACTGTGGTGTTGGAGAAGACTCTTGAGAGTCCCTTGGACTGCAGGGATATCAAACCAGTCCATCCTAAAGGAAATCAGTCCTGGGTGTTCATTGGAAGGACTGATGCTGAAGCTGAAGCTCCAGTACTTTGGCCACCTAATGTGAAGAGCTGAGTCATTAGAAAAAACCCTGATGCTGGGAAAGATTGAAGGCAGGAGGAGAATGGGATGACAGGACGAGATGGTTGGATGGCATCACCGACTCAGTCAACGTGAGTTTGAGCAAGGTCCCAGAGATGGTGAAGGACAGGGAAGCCTGGCTTGCTACAGTCCATTGGGTCACAAAAAGTTGGACACAACTGAGTGACTGACAGCAACAACAACACTTTTTTATTTTATAATTTTTATTGAGGTATATAGGTGATTTACAATATTATATGTTTTAAGTATACTGTATTATGATTCACAATTTTAAAGGTTATTCTTAATTTATAGTTATAAAACATTTGCTGTATTCCCTGTGTTGTACAATATATCCTTGTAACTTATTTATTTTATAAATAATAGTTTCTGTTTCCTAACCTCCTACTTCTATCCTGCCTCTTCTTCCCTCTCCCCAGTGGTAACCACTAGTTTGTTCTCTATATCTGTGAGTGTGTCTTTTTTGTTGTATCTACTAGTTTTAATTTTTAGGTTCCACATATAAGTTGTATCATACAGTTTTTATCTTTCTTTGTCTGGCATATTTCACTTCACATGATACCCTCCAAGTCCATCCATGTTGTTGCAATGGGAGTAGTTAGAACCACTTTCTTAATTTCATTTTTTGATTGCTCATTGCTGCTATACAGATACAGTTGATTTTTAGCTATTGTACTTATTATTTATTTAGTTTGGAACAACTTGACAAATATAATTCACATACCATTACAATTCACTCAGTGTATAGTTCATTGTTTATATGTTAAATTATTACTTTTTAAATTGTAGTAAGAAATATATAGCATAAAATTTGCCATTTTAAGATACAATTCATTGGCATTAATTACATTCACAGTGTTATGCAAACTTCACCCCTATTTCCAAAATATTTTCTTTACCCTTTTGTCAGCATTAAGTGATAACTCTTCAGTCCCCCTTCCCCAGCCCCTGGTAATCCCTAAAGTATTTTCTGTCTTTATGGTTTTACCTATTTTAAGTGTGTGCTTGCATGCTCAGTCGTATCCAACTCTTTGTGACCCCATCGAGTCCTTCAGGCTCATCTGTCCTTGAGATTTTCCAGACAATACTGGAGTGGGTTGCCATTTCCTCCTCCACATGATCTTCCTGACCCAGGGATTGAACCCACATGTCCTGTGTCTCCTGTATTGGCAGGCAGATTCTTTATCCCTAAGCCTCTGAGGAAGCCATCATATAAATGGAATTGTAAAATATTTGTCTTTTTGTGTCTGCATTATTTTGCTTAACATGAGTTTTTCCAAGGCCAACAAGGATGTAGCAGGCATCAGAAGTTCATTCCTTTTTATGTCTGAATAATATTCTGTTAAATATACATAACACATTCTGTCCACTTGTCTGTTGGTGAACACTTGAATCATTTACAAATTTTGCCTATTATAAATAATGCTGTAATGAAAATTGATGTATAAGTCTCTGTTCAATGCCTGGTTGCAGTTCCTCTAGATATTTATTTAGAAGAGGAATTTATGAATTGTATGATGATTCTGTCATTAGCTTTCTGAGGAATCACTAAACTAGTTTCCATCGTGGCTGTATCATTTTACATTATTGACTAAGTATTTTATTCTTTTTGAAGCTATTGTAAATTGAATTGCTTTTACAATTTACTTTTGGCTTGTTTATTGCAAGTATATAGAAATACAACTGATTTTTGTGTGTTGGGTTTGTATCCTGCAGATTTGCTTAATTTATTAATATTAGCTCTAACAGTTTTTTGTGAAATCAGTAGGTTTTTCAATATGTCAGATCACATCATTTGCATACAGAGAGAACTTTACTTCATCCTTTCCATACCTTTTATTTGTTTTTCTTGACTAATTGTTCTGGTTTGAAATTCCAGAACTGTGTTGAATCAAAGTGGTGAAACTTGGCACTGTTGCTTTGTTCCTGATCTTGGAGGGAAAGCTCTCAGTCTTTCACAATTGAGTATGATATTATGTGTGAGTTTTCCACATATGGCTTTTATCCTGTTGAGGAATTTCCCTACTATTACTCATTTATTATTTTTACATTAAGTTTTATTAAATGTTCTGCAACAACCAGGATGATCATGTGGGTTTGTTCCTTCTTTCTAATAATGTGATTTACTGTATTGGTTAATTTTAATATATCAAACCATACTTTCATTTTGGAAATAAATTCCACTTGATCATGGGATGATTCTTTTCAAATGCTGCTGAATTTGACTTGCTAATATTTTGTTGGATATTTGCATCTATATTCATGAAGATTTTCATCTGTTGTTTCTTCCTGTAGTGCCTCTGTATAGTTTTAGTATCAAAGTAATGCTAGCCTCATAGAGTGAGTTTCAGAAATATTTCCTCTTCTTCAATTTGTTTGAAGAATTTGTGAATAATCGATATTGAGTCTTCTTTAAACATTTGGTATAATTCACCAGTAAAGTCACCTGTTTCTGGGATTTTCTTGTGAGATTTTTTCATTACTAATTCAATCTCCTCACCACTTAACTTGCTATCTTAATTTGGGCTGCTACAACAGATACCATAAACTGGATGGCTTAAACAACACATTTTTATTTCTCATGGTTCTGAAGGCTGAGTCCAAGATCAGGGTGCCAGCATGCCTAATGTCTTCGTGAGACCACTCTTCCTGGCTTGCCGATGACTTCTTCTATCCTCACAGTGGGGATAGCAGAGAGAGAGGATGCAAGCTCTCTCATTGAGATAAGGACACTAATCCCATTCATGAGGACTCCACTTTATGGCCTAATTACCTCTGAAAGGCCCTACATTAGAGGGAAGGGTATACCATCACATTAGAGGGTAGGATTTCAACATACACATTTGGGGAGGACGAACATCCAATCTAAAGCTCTTACATTTAATGTGATTACTGTTATAAAGGGTTGACTGTTTTCTGTGTTTCTTCTATGTTTTTTGTTCTTCATTTCCTCCATTGCTGCCTTTTTGTAGTGAGTTAATTTTTTTCAGTGTACCATTTTGATTCCCTTCTTTCTTTTTCTGTATATTGTTAAAGTTATTTTCTTAGGAATTGCCATGGGGATTACAATTAGCGACCTGAAATTATAATATGTTTTGAGTAATAGTTCTATTGTAATTGTACACACTCTGCTCCTGCACATCCCCTTTCCTCCCTTGCCGTGTTGCTGTGATCACAGATTACATCTTTATATATTATATGCCTATTATCATGGATTTATAATTATTTTATGCATGTTTCTTTTAAATCACATGAAAATGGAGACACTATAAATATAAACTAAACCAAAAGTACAACAATGCTGGCTGTTTTCTTTACCTGTGAAGCTTTCTCTTCACTAGTGTCTTATAATCTTTTCTTATGTCTTTGAGTTACTGTCTGGTGTTCTTTCATTTCAGTCTGAATAATTCATTGTAGAATTTCTTGTCGGGCAAATTACTGGTGATGAACATCCTCAGCTTTTTTTAAATCTGATAATGCCTTATTTTCTCCTTCATTCTTGAAGGATAGTTTCACCAGATATAGAATTCTTAGGTGACAGGTTTTTATTTCAGCACTTTAAGAATGTCTTCTCATTGCCTTTTGATCTTTATGGCTTCAGGTGAGAAATCTACTGTTAACCTTATTGAAGATCCTTTGTACTTGAGGAGTCACTTCCGTCTTGCTGCTTTCAAGATTATCTCTTTGTTTTTGAGTTTTAGCAATTTGACTATAATGTATCCCTTACAAAGATACGGATCTCATTAAATTTACCCTGTTTGGGATTTGTTAAGCTTCTTGGATGTAGGTATTCATGTCTTTCATCAGATTTAGGAAGTTTTGGCCATTATTTCTTCAAATATTTCTTCTGCCCGTTTGTATCTTCTCTTTCTGGAATTCCTATAATGTGTATATTGTTCTGTTGCTAGTATCCACAGGTCCCTTAGACTATTTTCACTTTTCTTCGTTCCTTTTTTTCTTTCTTCTCTTCAGATTAGGTAATTTCTTAATGTCTAACCTTGAAATTCATTGATTCTTTCTTTTACTTGCTCAGATCTGCTGTTGAATCCCTCTGTGAGTTTTTCACTTATTGTACTTTTCAGCTCCAGAATTTCTTTTGGACTACCCTTTATAGTTTCCATCTCTATTGATACTCTCATTTTGTTCAGATATCACCTTACTAATTTCCTTTAGTTCTTTGTTCATGGTTTCCTTTAGCTTATTAACACTTTTAAGACAGTCACTGTAACATTTTTGACTAATAATTCTAATATCTGGACTTCCCCAGGAATAGTTTCTGTCAAACTCTTTATTTTCCATGACTGGAACATACCGATCTATTTCTTAATGCGTTTTCTATTTTTTGCTGAGAAGTAGATACTCTGAGCATCATGCTGTGGTAACTTTCTGGAAATCTGATTTTCCCACTCATCAGTGATTGCTGGAGTTTCCTTCATTCATGGCTGTAGCTTTTCCACACTATATTTTGCAAAGTATCTATCCTTTGTTGTGTGTGTTCACTGAAGCTTCCCTTCTGTTGTCTCTACAGTCAGCCAGTTTCCTGACAAAGATTTCCTTAAATGACTCTCAGAAAGAGAGAGAGAGAGAGAGAGAAAATGTTTCTTCAAATTCTCTCATGTCCGGGAGGCACTTCAGCCTGAGGGTTGAAAGAACATTCACCCGCCATGGCTGCCAATCACTGATCAAAAACAATAGTCAGAACCAACAACTCCAAGTTTTGGAGGACAAAGCCCTTATTACCCACTCTGGGTCCAGCAAGCCATACCAGGAGTTTGGGTGGGCTGCTATTTTCCATCACTGCCTGCTCCAGGGCTTAAGAATGGGTAACAGTAGCCACCATCTCATTAAAAACTGAAATTGACAAAAACTACCAGCCTCTTCACCCAGCTCTCTCTTGGATGCTGCAAGTGCTCTGCTTGCGGCAACTCTACAAGGGAGTTGCTTCAGACAGTTTCTGGCAATTTGATGGTTGGGTCAGTAGAGGGATAGATTCCTAGAGCTTCCTACTCTGCCATCTTCCTGAATATCACCCACAACAGAATTTGTATTTATCTGTATACAGTTTGTATCTGGATCTTGTGTCCTGCAAACTTGCTAAACTTGTTTATTTGTCCTAACAATATTCATTGGTTTCCTTAGGATTTTATATACACAAGACCATGTCATAGCCAAAGAAAGATCATTTTCCTCCTTCCTTTTCCAATATGGACACCTTTCTTTCTTTCTTTCTTTCTTTTTTTTTGACACCTTTCTTTCTTTCTTTCTTTTTCTTGTCTAATTGTCCTAGCTGTAACTTTCAGTAACTATTGAGTAAATGTGACAGAGAACATCCTTCTCTTGTTCCTGATCTTAGGGGTAAAGTGTTTAGTCTTTCACCATTACGTATGGTGTTAGATGTGGGTTTTTCATAGGTGCCATTTAAAAGATTAAGTTCCCTTCTAAGTTTGTTGAGTTTTTTTTTTATCATGAAAAGGTGTTGCATTTTGTCAAATTCTCTTTCTACATCTATTGAGATCATGATGTGATTTATTAATTTTTTAAGGTTTTTATTATATATTAATTAAAGATACTGTTCTGTATTTTTTGTGTGTGTTTGATGTATTTGTCTATTTTGGTATCAGGGAAACAGAGGCCTCAGAATGAGTTGGGAAGTATTCCCTGCTCTCCTTCCTTTTGGAAGAATTTGTAAAGGACTTCTATTTATTCTTCCTTAACATTTTTTAAAATACACCAGTGAAGTCATCTGGTCCTGTGATTTTCTTTGTGGAAAGTTCTTTGATTGTTAATTCAAATTTTATTTCTTACATATCTATTCTTTTTTTTTTTTACCATATCTGTTCTTAAACATTTGTTTATTTTTTTCTGTTGATTTCTTGCTTTCAATTTCATTGATTTCTGTTGTGATTTTTATAATTTCTACTGCTTAATTTTTTTTTTACTACATGTATTTAGAGCCATACATTTCCTTCTAAACATTGTTTTCATTTTATCTTGCAAATTTTGAAAATTTGTATTTCATTTTCATTTAGTTCAAAACTATTTAACTTATCTTGAAATTTCTTTGACCCATGTGTTGTTTAGAAGTACATTGTTTAATCTGAAAATATTTTGGAATTTTCAGTATTCTTGGGCTTCCCTTGTGGCTCAGCTGGTAAAGAATCCTGCAATGCGGGAGACCTGGGTTTGATCCCTGGGCTGGGAAGATCCCTTGGAGAAGGGAAAGGCTACCCACTCCAGTGTTCTGGCCTGGAGAATTCCATGGACTGTATAGTCCATGGAGTCACAGAGTCAGACATGACTGAGTGACTTTCGCTTTCTGTTATTGATTTCTATTTTAATTTTACTGTAGTCTGAAAATGTTCTTTATATGATTTTTATTCTATTACATTTGCTAACATGTGTTTTATGGCCCAGAATGTGATTTATCTTAGTAAATCAACTCTGCTATTAATGGACTCCTCTATCTTGACTTTTATACTAATCACAGTTTTGCGTTTGCTTATGGTTTTAATAACAAATTTTGCCTATCTAAACATTGCAGTTTACCTTGACTATATTCTTATTGTCTTTGATATGCCTTTTAAATCTTTAATCTATATATAGGTGGCCTTTCTGTTCTTTTTTTCTTACAATTTGTTTGAGGAATTCAATCCTTTAATTTTTAGTCTCCCATAGTTTAATTTTTGCCAGTTATACTTAATAGTATAGTAAAACATGATTCTCTGTTTTCTGGATCCAGAATCTTGGTCACTTCATATTTGATTTTTTATTTTGGTAGGACTATGTGCAGTGTTGTATTCTCTCTATAGGAGTTACTTACTGCCTAATTTTACCTCTTTTTATGATGTTAGCAGGCAGTAGGAGTATCTTCAGGTTGACTCCTAACTCTTTTGTTATCATTTTGTTCTCTGGTATGGCAAAATATTCCCAACACATCTTATATATTTCCTGCTTCTCAAACTGGTCATTTCTCTGAGTCCCTGGTTTCAGTTTCTGGAAAGTGGTGCTTAAACATCACAATCTAGGCAGTGGTGTGATTATTTCTATTGATTATGTGATTCTCTTTAGGACTTTTTAAGTAGACAGATACACAAACACACGTTTTATGTGTAGTGTTTAATTGTAAAGTTATCCCCCACCTCCTTTTCATTAACCACGCTTTGGAAACAAGTCCCTAAGTATAGCCCACGTTCAGGGGATGAGGAGCACAGCTCCGCCTCCTCGAGGGGTCTCCCCTCATTTTTTAAATAGCTGTGCTCTTCCTGCTTTGGCAGAGCACATCAGCAGCAGGGAGCATACTACACTCTCCCTGTAAACTTCAGTCAGTGTTAGTTCAGTAATTAGACATTTAGTGCTTACCTCCAGTCCTTATGTCAACGTCTTTTTTCCTTTTGTTGCCTGAAACTTGTTCTCTGATGAGTTCCTCAAGAAGGACTCAAGGTACAATATTCCTTCAGTTTTGTGTCCATCAGTAATTGTTTGTCCACACCTTTTGTGATTGACTGTCAGTCTGACTGATTTTAATAAAATTCTTGATTCACATACAGTTTGCCTTTTTGTTTTACAAAGGGGAAATGGAAACTTTACAAAGAAAGTGTATATAATCTTTTCATTCAAACTAGCATAGCAGTGTTTTAAAAGGCTTACTTGTCGGTTAACTTCCACCATTTTAGTAGCATGTGATTGGTGTTCTTAAAGCACTCAGGGGTTTGTGGCTGTCAGGGTGGTACAGTTACTGCATTCAGGATGTGTGTCATCCCTGCTTTTTCTTCTCATTACATTTGTGCACATTTTCATAGTTTTTCATGGCGCATGATAAATTGCCACAAACATTGAAAAGCAGGATTATATCAGTGTCCATGCTCAGGCACCCAGCAGAGTATATAGCTGCAGCCCTGGTTAGGGCCTCGTGAGGCTGCAGTCATGGTACCCACCAGGGGCAGGACATCATCTGAGTCCTCCTTCAGTCTCATGTGGTTTTTTGGTATAATTCATTTTCTATTGAACCCATGATGGCTTGTCCCAAAGGCGGGCTTTTCTGGCTTCATAATTCCAGAAGCCAGGTAGGCACAGTTACCGCAGTAGACAGCAGAGACAAAGCAACAATCTGAATAGTTTGACTCACTGTAGTGCACAAATTTGTGGCATTGGCTTGTTAATCATGGGGTTACTAAACATTTAAATAGGTATGAAAACTACTAAATTCTTAATTGATCTATATAAGCAGAAAAGTTCTGGACTTCCCTGGTGGTCCAGTGGTTAGAAATACACCTGCCAATGCAGGGGATGAGGTTCAGTCCCAGATGCAGGAAGATCCCACATGTTGCTGAGCAACAGAGCTGAGTGCTATAACTACTGAGCCTGTATTCTAGAGCCTTCAAGCTGCAACCACTGAGCCTGTGTGCTGCAACTACTGAAACTCTAGTGCCCTAGAGCCCATGCTCGGCAACAAGAGAAACCACCGTAATGAGAAGCCCATTCACTGCACCTGGAGAGTAGCCTCTGCTCACCACAACAGAAAGCCTGCGTACGGCAACAAAGACCTAGCACAGCCAAAAATAAATACAAATTTTAATTAAAAAGAAAAGTCCTAGGTTAAGTGAATGAAGGTCTAGCTCAAGTCATAAAGTAGAGTCACACCCACTTAAAATTCCCAAACTTGAGCCAATTGACAGACCCAGAATCTTTTGAATGAAGGTGAAGCAAGACCTCTTGAGGAAGAACCCCAGTACACCACCAAAAACATATACAGTTAATCTTATTCCCAGCTTTCCCCAAAGGGACCTACAGCCTTTTACCAGATCATCTATGCATTGACGAAAAGGAAATAATCAGACCTTTCAGGGACACTGGCTGTGAATAGGCATTGATTTCAAGAGACCCAAAATGTCATGTGCCCTCCAGTCAAATTAGAACCTTATGGGGCTCTGGCTGGACATCAATGGAGTTTTAACTGAGGTCCATCTCACAGTGGGCCCAGTGAGTCCTTAAGCCCATCCTGTGGTTACTTACTCAGCTCCAGAATGCAGAATTGAAATAGACATACTTAGCAGCTGGCAGTATCCCCACTTTGGTTCCCTGACCTTCAGAGTGAGGGCTATTATAGTGGGAAAGGCCAGATTAGAACTGCCTCATCCTAGGAAGATTCCCTTTCAACTCAGCTGCTGAAGAATTCGCCTGTAATGCGGGAGATCTGGGTTTGATCCCTGGGTTGGGAAAATCCCCTGGAGAAGGGAAAGGCTATCCACATCAGTATTCTGGCCTGGAGAATCCCATGGACTGTTTCGTTGGACATGACTGACCAACTTTCACTTTCACTTTCATCCTAAGAAAATAGTAAATTAAAACAATGCCACATCCAAGCAGGGATTGCAGAGATCTGTACCACGACTAAGGACTTGAAAGTTGAAGGGGTGATGATTCCCACTATATCCCCATTCAGTTCTCCCATGTGGCCTGTGCAGAAGACAGATGCATCTTGGAGAATGAAAGAGGATTATCACAAGCTTAACTAAGTGGTGACTCAAACTGAAGCTGCATAGTGGATGTAGTCACATTGCTTGAACAAATTAACACGTCCCTTGGTACCTGATATGCAACCTGTGGCCTGGCAGATGCCTTTTTCTCTCCCTCTGTCCATAAGGCTTCTCAGAACAGCTTGCTTTCAGCCTCCACTGTCCTACTGCAGGGGTATATCAATTCTTTGCCCTGTGTGACAGTTTAGTCCAAGGGATCTTGATCACCTTTCCCTTACACATGATATCACACTGTGCCCTTACATTGACAACACTGTGCTGATTAGACCTAGGAAGTAGGCACTATGCAGACTTCTCAGGTGGCTCAGTGGTAAAGAAT